AAAAAAAAAAGATTAAAAGCATAGCTAGATGCATCCGGGCGCCACTCCTGATAGCCCTGGGGCGCAGGGCGCTCTATTCCCTCCTTTCAAACTGCCTTATGTTGTAGATGGGACAAACGAGACCTGTTGAAGCTCTTGGACATGCCAAAGCGCTGCCACCGCAGCCGCACCCTCTCCCACTGCGTCCAATTGCCCGGCTCCGCCTTCCATGCTTTTCTAGTAAATTTGTACCCATCGTCACTGTATCCGGCCAGCATTCTGGGGCCAGTACATCTGGAATGTCCAAGATAAGGCAACCTCAAAACTGTTGAGGCAGTCGAGATGAGGTGTCATGAAAGTAAGCCACACGGCCTCTGGATGGTGAGAAAGGAGCCCCCCCTTTCCAGCTAAAGGCTTGAGGGGAGGACGGCTCCTCTGGTATCCAGATCCTCTTAGGCTGTTAGGTATGACGGTCGGTATGGAGGTCAAATGCAGAGCTGCCAGGATGCCTTGGCGTAAGAGTGCGAAGGCACTCCGTAACCCACTCAAGGGCTGGGCTACGCCAGGGCACTATCGCTATAGCTCTCACACAACTATGGTGCCTGGCAGGGTAGGCGCCTCATGGAGAGGATCAGCGTCCACATGCTCAGACGTTGCGTCCTACTCAGCCGCAGCCGACGACCAGGCGCCGCCACCGCTGCCATCGCCGCTTCATTGTTAGCGCACGTTTTTCGCGCGGCGGTCCGCTGGAACTCCAAGTTTCAGTTTGCCCTAAGTGTTTTTTTTTTTTTTTTTTTTTTTTTCCCAAAACCCTAAGTGGTCCTGAAAGGCATACTCACAAAAAAAAAAGAAAAAGAAAAAGATAGGCATACTCACACGATGATTTGGACTCAGGTCTGGCGGTGGTGGCGGTCAGATACGTCCAAGTGAGACTGTAATTCCGACCAGATACATGTGAGACTGTAATTCCGACCAGATACATCCAGGGCAAGTATGCATATGGTCTAAGCGGGGAACTGTGGGTTTTTCGTTTTTCTCCCAGGACCCTAACGGAGAGCAGCTATGCCTTTGGAGAACACAAATCGTAGAAGTGTTCTGCTTTTTGCTTATATTAATACATCAGTCGCAGAGAGGCCTTCAGAGAGGATCCCCGGCAGTAGGAGGGAGGGGGCCTGCTTTGTGTCAGAAACAAGAAACAACATCGAGCTCGAACGAAGAGCAGCTATCATGATGGCTACGGAGAACACAAATCGTAAGAAGTGTTCTGCTTTTTTAATATATTAATCCATCAGAGAGGCCTTCAGAGAGGATCCCTGGCAGTAGGAGGGGGCGTGCTTTGTGTCGAAAACAAGAAACAACAGCGAGCTCGAACGAAGAGCAGCTATCATGATGGCTACGGAGAACACGAATTGGAAGAAGTGTTCTGCTTTTTGCATGAGGCCAGCAGTGCTGTGCGTGTTTCTGCTGCGGCCTTTCAGTCATTTTTTTCATTTATGAGAAAACTAGGGCTTAGTCAGGGTTCGAGTTTGAAAATGCACTTCAGGCAAAAGGCTTTCGAAAATGTCCACTGTATATACAAGCTAGCTTTCCAGTCTGGTAGGGTCACGTGGAGGGGTGTTATGTTTGGGGTTTTGGGGACTGCCGCATAGTTACCCCTACATTTATTTACGAGAAAACGACAGTGCAGTCAGGGTTTGAGTTTGAAAATGCACTTGAGGCAAAAGGGCTGCTAATGGTGACTGTATGTAACCTAGGTACTTATCCAAGACTCTCTGACAACTATGTTCTCACATGTATATTCAAGGGACGTTGGACCCGATTTCCAGCAGGTGAAGCTCCCCACCAAWAGATGGAGCGGCTACCAGTAAAAAAAAAAAAAAAAAAAAAAAAAAAAAAAAGGTTTGGGGTCCGGTGCGGTTACGTGGGAGTGTGTTGTGTTCGCGGGATTGCGTGAAGCGCATTTTCAAACTGTTTTCATGACTGCGTCGAAGTTACCCCTTTATTTATTTATTGACATTGGGATGCCCAGATCCGCAAGAACAAAATGAAAAAAGAAGAAGAAGAACTTCAAGAAGAAGAAAGAAAGAAAGAAAGACCATCATGGGCATGGCTCCGTTGGCGGTTGTGGCTTTGCAATGATGATCTGGGAGTGCGTGTTGCGTCTCGGTCCCTCGCTGTCATTGTCGAATCGCACTGTCGACAAACATGAAGTGTCATGAACAACTTGCATAATTCAACAACAACAACTTGGCATGCATATGGCAGTGTGATAGAACAACTTGTCTAAGTCAATTTTAGGAACAGCAAAGAGAGTGTGATGAACAACTTCAACTTGTCTAAGTCAATTTTAGGAAGACCATTTTATAAGGTACGGGTCTCGATCTCTCCTATGCCGGTCGTCGGTGAGGAGGTCGGTACTCCCATCTTGTACTCCCATCTTCCCCGGAACATAATGCACCCTGATAATGAATGGACGAAAGGTATATTCGGCGGTGAGGTAGGTACTCCCCTCTTCCCCTGAACATAATGCACCCTGATAATGAATGCATACAAGGCACATTCGGCGATGAGGTAGGTATTCCCATCGTCCTCCAAACAACTGTTCCTCGTTTGTGTGGGCGATGAGCTTTTGCTATTTTCTGTCCCTCCCCTTCGTGTTCTTGTTGCTTGTTGGTGTGCGTCTCTGGCATATGTCCGAGTCCATTCGTTTTTCCTTCTCTCCTCCTTGCCACCGTTCTTACACTGTTGTTTCCTCCCTATTCATATGGTCCACTGTGCTCCTTTGTGTTCGATCCATCATGGATGACAGGTGACTGACTTAGCTATGCCAATTCCCAAGTGGAGCCTTATGATCTGAAAATTGCAGAGTGGGACCAGGGACCAGGAGAATTCAAGAGTGGACCAGGGACCAGGAGAATTCAAGAGCGGACCAGGTACCAGGAGGATTCCAGAGTGGACCAGGGACAGACTGCCTTAGCTCCGCCAATTTCCAAGTGGAACCTTATGATCTGAGAATTGCAGAGTGGGACCAGGGACCAGRAGAATTCCAGAGTGGACCAGGRACCATGAGGATTCCRGAGTKKRCCAGGGACAGACTGCCTTAGCTCCGCCAATTCCCAAGTGGAACCGTATGATCTGAGAATTGCAGGTGGAACCAGGGACCAGGAGAATTCCAGAGTGGACCAGGGACCAGGAGGATTCCAGAGTGGACCAGGGACTAGGAGCTGTCTCTTATACACATCTAGATGTGTATAAGAGACAGGGACCAGGGACAGACTGCCTTAGCTCCACCAATTCCTGAGTGGAACCTTATGATCTGAGAATTCAGAGTGGAACCTGGGACCAGGACAATTCCAGAGTGGACCAGGGACAGACTGCCTTAGCTCTGCCAATTCCCACGTGGAACCGTATGATCTGAGCATTGCAGGTGGAACCAGGGACCAGGAGAATTCCAGAGTGGACCAGGGACCAGGAGGATTCCAGAGTGGACCAGGGACTAGGAGAATGTGAGCGGAGGATCTTGATTCTTCCCCCAGGGAAAGGAGGTGGTAGGCAGCAAAGGAGGAGGGTTTTGACGGACGAAAAAAGATCTCAACGAGCTGACAAGGATGGGGGTCGATGTCGGCAGTTTCTCAGAGGACACGAGCGACAAATTGAATGCGGAGAATGTCTGGATGTGGATGATTGCTCGGTTCCCATGGCTCTCTGTCGATGATCTCGGGCGTCATGTTCCGTTGGTCACATGGGGTTCGCTGATCCTTACAGTGCTGGTCTGTGTCTTGACTGCCAGTTCGCTTTCTTGGCTAGTGGCTAAGTGGGCCATTGTTGGGGCGAAGGACCGCCATGGCCGCAAACTGTGCCTGGCCCCCGGGCCTGCTCCATGGCCAATCGTAGGCAGCCTGCTTCAGCTGCAAAGGCACCCCCATAGAGGCCTGGCCAAGATGGGAGAGCAGTATGGAGAGCTGATGACTGTTCACATGGGCACGACCCCTACGCTGGTGGTGTCCAGCCCGGCTGCCGCAAAAGAGGTCCTGCTCACTCAGAGAACCACTTTCGCCTCGCGACCGCTGACGCCGACGGTTGGTGCATGGTCTGGTGGTCGAGACCTCGGACTCGCACCATACGGTCCTCTGTGGCGGAAGCAAAGGAAGATTGCCAGCGTGCAGTTGCTCTCCCCAAGGAGGATGGAGCAGGTGGATGCGATCCAACGGAAGCTCACCGATTTCCTAGAGGAGGAGCTGTTGAGGAAAGGCCAAGGAGGAGCACGCCAGGGGGAAGGAAGAAATGTGGGGACAAAGGAGGCAGCCAAGGAGGGAAATGATCTCTCACCTGCTGCGGACCCCTTGCCGACAGAAACAACCTCCTCTTTGCCCAATCCGGCCGCCGCCGTGCACGTCGGTGCAACAGCCAACGTCGAGATGAGCCACAAAGCAGGCACCATGGATGGGCTGCAGCCAGTCCACTTGCGAGAAAACCTGTTCCACTTCGCCCTGGACATGTTGGCCTATGTCATATTCGGCTCTCCTGTGTCGCCTTCCATGCAGCATCACATGGCGAAAGTCATTGCTACCAGCGGTTTGAGGTCGACGATGAGGATGTCGAAGAGAGCGCAGGAGCCTGAGGAGGGTCTTGAACATGATGCAACTAGGAGAATGAGCAAAGAAGTGTCACTTCAGACTACGGAGGGAGGCGATGATGTCAACGATGACCAAATGGCGAAAAGGTTTTATGATGTGGTGTTGTCAATGACGCAGGTGGTGGGGGTGGCACAGATACCAGACTTTGTCCCGAGTCTGAGGTTCTTCTACAGGGGTTATCTCCAGAGTGTGTGAGGGGTGTCGACCAGATTTCGCGCTCTGATCCTGGAGCTCATTGAAAAGCGCCACGAAGTCCAACGGAATGTGGCTGGTAACTGCGGAAGCAGTTGCACAATGCTAGATCACCACCAAGCAACGCTGAGAGCAGCTGGACTCATTAATCCGGATGCAATGGTGGACGTGGTCTTCAATAACCTGTCTCCTCACACCCAAGAACTTGGCGGTTTCTGCAATGAAGGACGACGATGTGGTGTACGGCGAGACGGAGGCCTGCCTGATGTTAATGAGCCTTCTGACGGCTGGCACCGACACAATGACCTCTACATTTGTTTTTCTTCTGATGGAGTTGCTGCGCCACCCAGAGAAGATGGCGCTGCTGAAGGAAGAGCTAGATGAGGCCATAGGAATGCACAAGGTTCCGTCGGAGAATGATCTGGAGAACCTTCCTTACCTCAATGCCTTTCTGTATGAGACGCTGCGTATGCACAGTGTTGCTCCCATGCTCCTTCCCCATCTAGCTATGAAAGACACTGTAGTGTTTGGATATGACGTGCCGGCAGGCACTTCTGTCGTCGTCAATGCCTGGGCTATTATGCACGACCCTAAGGTGTGGTCGGAGCCATGGGAGCTCCGCCCTGAGCGGTTTATCCGAGACGGACTGCTGGCCGAAGACATGCATCCTGATGGAAAGAACTTTGCGTTCTTGCCGTTTGGATCAGGAAGAAGAATGTGCCCTGGAATTCGACTTGCACTAACCACTATGCGATTTGTTCTGTCCAGGTTGCTGCAGCGATTCGATGTTATGTTGCCACATGGCATTAAGCCAGAAGACTTGGACCTTACTGAGCACGATGGAATCGTTATCTTCCCGGAAACCCCCGTGCCGTTCATCTTTCGTCCAAGATCAATGGGGTAATAGGGTAGGGTGGGGTGGACTTGATTCGCAACTGGCTGTTTTTCAGTCGATATCCCTAGGGTCGGTAGCATTTAAAGCTAGAAGGTGAGAGAGGTGCAGCTCCTGTTAATCTTCTTGTGGACAATCTATGAGTTTCCCTTCTGAAACATGGCGGAAATTGCCCTTACCAAATAAACCTTATCCTGCGCGATTTGAAGAAATATTGAGGCAACTTTTATTCGGGAACAGATGGATGATTGATGCTAATGGTTGTATTTATAATAGCTCTTCAACCCCCTGGTCCCAGTGGGTGAAAAAAAGGGTAGTACGGATCAAAGACATTTGGGACCACGAAAAGAGAGATTGGATATTGACTGATCAGCTTAGGAAAACAATTTCATATGCCCATAAACTAACCCAAAACTTGGATCATATTATTTGACAATGTTCCATTCCTCTGGCCTAGGTAAGGGAACTAAAAGGAGTAAGATTTCAGGAAGAAAATTTTGTAACGATTGCACATGACCCACAATGTTGGCAAGTGGGACAAATAGTGAGTTTACTAGAAGAAGGAACTTTGGTGACTCTGTTTAGAATAGCTGCAAATCATTTGCTCCATCCTTCAAAAACAAACCAAGTTAAGTTTTTTACTTTCAACGAAATTTTTAGGACTAGAGTGTTTTTTATCTCTGCAACCACATGTTGGAGAGTCTTTCAACCACAATGCCCAATTTCAAACTTACCTTTTGACCCTGCTGAATGGGTATGGCAAACTGCGAAGAAAACTAAACCACGCACCTTGCATTCCCTTTCGGTTAAGACAGTATATCGTTTGTTGAGACCAAAAGTGAATGTGTCATATGTAATAAGGGACCAGTGGGTCAAACATATGAATATTGATATGCACAAAATCCAAAATATTTTTTTTTTTAACAAGCTAAAACAGAGACCAGCCAAGTTCTCTTCGTTACAGTGGCAAATACTTCATAGGTGTCTGCCCACTAATGACAAGCTTATTGGTCATACTAACTTAGAGCAAAGAGGCCTGGCACTATCATGGTGTAAATCATGCCTAATATCTGACTTTCCCAATAAGAAGATAAGAGAAACCATTGAACACATGTTCATTCAATATCCGGGCATGGTATTCGTATGAAGAAAGTGAGACTGTGTGTGGAGAGGTCTAACAGGGATTGATTGGCCATGGGATTGGGGAGTCAATTCTCCTGGTTATTGGGAACCAATTGATATACAACTTTCGGAATTTCCGAGATTTTTTTTTGAAATTGGTTGGAAAGTTATTTTATGGGCATTATGGTACAAAAAGTGTGTATATGAAAGAGAGGATGTAAAATTGGAAGGAACAAAATTTGCTCAGCTGATAGCCCAATTTGTACAAACGGAAATACGGCCACATTGGTTAGCAGTCCATGCTAAGATACAGGAGCTCCAACAGAAAAATGATATTATTAGTAGTATTTAACAATTCAATCGAAACTGGTTGGGGAAAACTGAAGAAGGAAGCTTGGGGGAAGTGAAATGGTCAGGAAGGGAGGTGCAGGAGGAATGCCTAAAGCGGGATTTCCACCTGATTTTCAAGGACTGGTTTTCACTTCCGCCGAGAGTCTCTCAGATCCTCCGAATGCTTTATTGATCCCTTCCCCCCCTCTGAGTTGACGAGGGTCGATATTCAGTGGTATGTTGTGGGAGATGGGTAAAATTATGTGCCGAGTCAAGTTCATATCATCTTAGTACCCACTGGATTGCTTCCTGCTATGCAATACAAGTGTTTCTATGAGGTATGGAGAGGTGTGAGCATCTGCTTGAATAAGGTTTTCTCTGAGGAGGATAGGAGGTAATACTGCTAGCTCGGACAAGGAATATCTGGCAGCCAAATTTTAGCTGAAGAGGCAGTCCTCTATTTGTCATTTCTCTCTCCGAACCATAATTATAATTCATTTGTATCAGGGACGCTGGACCCAGTGTCGAGCGCATCGATACGGCACCGCACAAAACGGGGGTAGACCCTCCCGGCCGCGTCACGCAGGAGTTAATCAAATCCTCGTTGTGAATACATATGGAGTTTCCGCAAGCCACTCTGCCCGAGTGCGCCAGCGATACCTCTCGCAAGCCCCTACAACAAAATAGGGCCTACGCGAGGCACGACTTACCTCCACCTTACGGGAGTTGTCACCTCCTTTCGGTGGGCATATCCCCGCCGAGCTACCAATCCACAGTACGAAAGTTAATCAGTTGCAATCGCAAAGGTGGACCAACCGAGGGCGTTTCTCGTTCGTCGTAGCATAGGGCGTACACGTGGTTTTACGCCTCTATCGGACCCGCACACGAACCGACGCCTTGGGGGGCTGAGGTCCCAAGCACGACCCATCGTCGGTTGACTAGGACGCATCCCACAAACCACGTGTACGCCACTCTAAAGACATAAAAAATAAAACACGCACACACACATATACAGAACGATACGGAACGAACAACGCGACACACTCCTAGTCCCTTCAGTAGTCATCCCATAACCTTCCGACACGGAAATCGAATAGGCGACGCGCGCGAGACTTAGTATAAAACCTCGCGGACGCAGGGCTAACTTATATCAACTCGCAATGCATGCATGCGCAAACAGTCGTAATGATGGCGTACTATGTAGTACCCATACTCATGTGGTCCTCGTTAATCTTGAGGATCGCATTCGACACTCAAGTGTCGGTTGACACGCGCCGTGATGGGTCAATCTCTGGACGCTAGACACCCTTCAAGTACGGTTCAGAACCACACCCTATTCTGCACCCTGCGGAGAGTGGGTGGTACACAGGTTCATATCTGTGGTCATAATCGTCTCTTATGGCCCTGGAGACCAGCTCCATCATCTAGGGTCTGGGAGAAATCAAGAGGTTTGACTTTGACGGGTGTCACGGACTACAACGTCCAACTATATAAAAATTTTAAAAAGCAAAGGATAAAAGGGGATCTCCCTCTTTTCTCAGGAATATAATTTATTAAACCCTTACGCACTGTCACAGTAGGCCGCGCGAAACACTCAAGATATATGTATTTACATATATGTAGAGGGTCATAAATATGTGACGATCACTTCTCACAATCACAATGGGACTCCTCTCAGCCATATATATGTATGTGATCGCATGCAGTTAAATCTAAAGTCCGAATCACCAAACATACATGCAATCACATCAAAGATTCAACAAAAAATTTATGCACTACACGGGGGCATTTTCAACCATTCTTTGCGTTCATACCTCTCACTTTAGTCATGCAAGCCTTACTCTTTGAGCAACTCTCAAAATAAAATACTCAGTATCTTTATTAAATGGTCATTCAAATAAAGTCCGGGTGAAAACACAATGAAACAATTCAAACTACAGGGCTAAAACCTTTAGGTTGAGTGACAAAAGTGAATTGGAGTTGAGTCGTAAACCGACGGATCGGCAACCGACGTGTTATCAGTGATAACGGAAGATTATCCTTTTGGGATCAAGTTGAATCTAGTTCAAATCTTGAATCAAACGATCAAGAGGACCTGTAACACAAGCAGGTCAATCCCCAAGCTAAATCTATAAGTCCATAAATAATAATTTTCATATCACAATCTCACTCAACATAGTTCTTAATGAACTAAGTATAAATCTATCCCTAAGCAAACATCTAAAGAAAAAGGTAGATCATAGTCGGATCTCCTCTATACTGAGTGGAATTCCAGAATCGTCATCTGTCAAAGTATAATATATCTTCTTTAAACTAAGAAAATTTTGGCAACACTTCCCGTACGAAAAATGTCTTTTAAAAATTTATACTAGCTCGAATATAAAAATTGAAATATTCTTTAACTCTGGAAAGTTAAATTTTGTCTAACTTCTTGAATTAGTAAAATTTGGGCAGCACCCCCTTTAGAAAAGAAGACTTTCCAGATTCTTACTAAGTCAGATATGAACTTAAAAGCAAAACCTGAGTTTAACTAAAACCAAATTTAACAAACTGCTGAGATTTGTAAAAATTTCCGGCAGCATTCCCTTTAGAAAAGTGTTATTTCAAGATTTATATAAAAGTAAGTTCAGAATCTAAAGTGACTTTGACTTCTCAAGGTCCAATTTTGTTTAACTCCCTGAAGTAGCAAAAATTGGGGCATCACTCTCTTTAGAAAATGAGGTTTTTCAAATTTTTACTAAGCCAAAAGTCGGACAAACTGAACTTTGAAAAAATAAAATATGGCTAACTCCTTGGTTTTGTAGAAATTTCGGCAGCGCTTCTCGTAGAGAAAGTAATTTACCAAGATTTATACAAGACCAAGTATAATAAATGATCTAGAAAATGCAGAAATCGACCTAAGTAAAATAAACTTTGTTAAAAAAATGCAGGAATCGAAACGAACTTCTATGACTCTAGCACGTGGCGAGCAACTACCTATTTACTGAAACTTAGATTAACTAGTGATCTCATTCAGCCATATGCAGGCCAAACCACAACGGTAAGTACTCTCACCAAACCGAAGTCGGACTTATCAAACAATAGTTCATAGTCTTTCAATGATTTATCGCCTTTATACCCAACTTACATAAGGCATAAAGCTAGACCACCCAATCTTATGAGAATCTGTCTAGCTCAATCATAGAATATATATACAGAAACACAAAGCACCACAACTTTTATTTTCTTTGGACACATGACTAGGTTGGTCAGCCTAATCACCCTGGACCATTTAAGTATCCAATTTATATATAACTGTCTGCAATCTGTCTTTTAAGGTAATATATGATTAAACCGATCATCTTAGATCAAGGTTCAACTTGTCTCTCCTTACCACAAGTTTATTCTTAATTCATACGTTCTTCAGTTAAGTGATATGCTATAGCCAGACCATCCAATCTCATGGAAAAATGTCTGACTAACCTGTTCATAAATAAAGTAGTATATAATATAAACAAATTTAACTTTTTGGTTCCAGCATGTGCGCGGCTCCAGACCAGACCACCCAATCTTATGGGAACCTGTCAAGTCTTTTATCTGAATTTCTCCTTCAAAAATAAAACAAGAGAAAGTCAGAGTCATCCAATCTTATGGAACATGCTTTATCCTCCTTCAAAACTAATAAAACATAAGGACACTTAAAGAAGCAAGGCAACCAAACCATCCAATCTTATGAAAAAATGCTTGGTCCCTAAGAGTCAAACACATGC